GATGTCGATAGTCGTCGTAAAGTGTCGGTTTGCAAATTAAGAAATAATATGAGTGAAGTACAAAGAATGACATTGGACAAAAAAATAAAGATTTATACAAATGTATTTGACTTCGACAAGTTGCGATACTCACACGTATGATGGCGCAGCTATCGCCTTAGCAAGGATTTGAACCAGGATCGACACGATGTCGATAGTCGTCGTAAAGTGTCGGTTTGCGAATTAAGAAATAATATGATTGAAGTACAAAAAATGACATTGGAGAAAAAAATAAAGATTTATACAAATGTATTTGACTTCGACAAGTTGCGATACTCACTCGTATGATGGCGCTGCTATCGCCTTAGCAAGTATTTGAACCAGGATCGACACGATGCCGATAGTGATCGTAAAGTGTCGGTTTGCGAATTAAGAAATAATATGAGTTAAGTACAAAAAATGACATTGGAGAAAAAAATATAGATCTATACAAATGTATTCGGCTTCCACAAGTTGCGATACTCAATCGTATGATGGCGCAGCTATCGCCTTAGCAAGGTTTTGAACCAGGATCGATACGATGTCGATAGTGGTCGTAAAGTGTCGGTTTGCGAATTAAGAAATAATATGAGTTAAGTACAAAAAATGACATTGGAGAAAAAAATATAGATTTATATAAATGTATTCGACTTCCACAAGTTGCGATACTCACTCGTATGATGGCGCAGCTATCGCCTTAGCAAGGTTTTGCACCAAGATCGACACGATGTCGATAGTCGTCGCAAAGTGTCGGTTTCCTCGATTTTTTTCTTGTTATTGTAAATGAAATGTATGCTTATGCAATTATTTTTCTCACTTTTATTATTTTTAAAGGTAAAAGTTTGTTATAAAATGATTTCTTGCCTAATGAGATAACCACAAGAGAATAATTAGAAACATCTTTCTAACCTCAATTATCCATTCTGCAATTTTCTCACCATTTTGTTTCGTTCTTTATGTAACGTTTTTAATTATGTGGTTCTTTATGTAAAATATGCTAATTATAACATAATTATCATAATATATATCTTATATGTAAAATTCTTCTGTATGGGTGTATGGTTTGATACTTCTCCTAAACGGTTATTCGGGTTTTGATAAATCTTTTTAGAGTTTGTCAAAGGAAATTTCTAAGATTTAATGAACGATAAAACTATAGTAATATTGTAGAAATAAATGGCAAAAATTACAAAAAAACACTTATCATTCAACATTTGAACTGTCATCTGCTAGAAATGTCAATTAACTGTAATTAGCTAGAAATTTGAATTTAGCTGTAATTATGAGCCTAGATAATATTAAAATATAATATGCAATAAAAATGTAATGTCTACATTATTATTGTCAAAAAGCAGCTGAGATGTGCCAGAAATTGAAATATTATAAGATACAGTCAACACTATATGTTGGCAGATGAAATTATATAATTCAGTTTAATAAATAACGCAACAAGTCCAAAATTGCATATACATTATTTTTTTAAACTTATGCATGTCACATTTTGGTTTACTTTACTAAATTATTTAACAATAAAGAATATTTCTACTTATTAAAAAATGATTTAGAATTTTGTTTCATGTGTCAAAAAAATATTTGTTAAACATAATCTGTCAAAACCATTTGACATTTGACGTATGAGTTGCCCTCTGTATCTTATATTATTTTTCTTCTCTGTTTCTTCTTAAATTTCGCTACTATGAAAAATTTTAAATTAATAATGTAATGTTTCTACGCGGTTTTGAAATAATTTCTCACCGTTTGCACAATCTGCGTTTTGCAGACAAAGCAATGGTGCGTCGACCCGGCACTAAAATGTACCGGGTCGTCGTGTTGTTCTGCTGAGGTGTGAAATTGCAGTCGAATTTTATAAAATAATTTTAAAGTCAGTATCTATTATATGTATAATAGAATATTAATAAATTAAATTAAAATTAAATCTCTGGATTAGCACAAATTTTTCAAAAGTAAAACTGTCCAAATCGGTTCAAGAAGATTTTCATGCGCCACATTTGTTGCCTTTTTACTATATCTGTTTACATTTTTGGTTGCTCTTTCTCAGTGCGCCTCCTCTGTCTTTTTTTCAGTTCCCTGAATTTTTTTGCGTAGAAAAATGGGTATTCTACTCTGCCCTAGTCTTTTTAAGAAGTTTTATACCATCATGGGACAAATATTATTTTTCCAATACGAGTCCACCCCAGTTTCCTACATGCAATATACATTCTTTTTAGTATGCCCATTCATTATATATTATGTGAATTTTACCTCAGAGTCCGTGTCTCTGTTCTTTGCGGAGCAGCCATACTTTCAATAATTATCAAAGTTATAATACATTTTTTTTTATTTTTTCTTAAACACTAATTATTACCTCGACTTCCTCCATACGTGACTTGCTTCGCGATTTGTTTCATCGGTTGTAATAATGTTTCTCTAATAACGGATTTTTTTTATATTTCTTAATGATAATATAAAAACAATAAAGAACGATAATTAAATAACTGCACAAACAATTGGCGTCGACTATAAATAATAAACAAACGTAGTGAAACTGACCTTAAATAAAATTTCATTATCGTTTGTAGGTTAAGATTCATGGATTAAGGTCTGATTTATATTTAAATTCTTGATTTTTTTCATAAGGTTTTTTAAGTTTTTAATCTGTAATGTAATCATGGATTTTATTCTCATGCACATACAACAATGTAAGTTTTGAAAATTTGTGAAATATAAGTTATTGAGTTTTAGAACCTGTTTCTACTCTTCATTAGTTTTCTACTATTTGAACTTCGATTTTTCATTCAATTTTTTTTTCTCATTTTTACTTTTTTTCTGCATTTTTTCTTCTCTTTCTTTTCCATATCACTTCTTCTTTATCCTTTTCTCTTTCTACAATTTTCACTTTATTCTTCATTTGTCTTCTATTCTCTTTATATTTTTTATATTACGGTCGTTATCTTCATTATTCTCTTTTTCTTTCTTTCTACTTCCTGTTTCTTTCATTTTTATCTTCATTTCTTCGTCATTTTTATTTTCATTTATGTCTTTTTCCTTCTTTTTACTTCCTGTTTCCTTCATTTTTATCTTCATTTATTCATCTTTATTTTTATTTTTGTCTTTTTTATTCTTTCTACTTCCTGTTTCCTTCATATTTTTATATCACTGATTTTATCTTCTTCTTTTCATTTATTCTATTTATTTTTCGCGTTTTCTTTCTTTTTTCTTCTTTTCTCTTCATATATTATACTTATTGCCGTCCTTATCTTTTCCTTTTTTCTCTATTTTTTCTGCTCTTTTTTTTAGATATACATGCTCGTATATATAACTTTTCTTTTCTTTCTACTTTTTTCTTCTTTTCATTCATCGTGCCACAAAGTTCCCGTACTCCTCCGAAACGGCTTTACCGATTTCTACTAAATTTTATACGCGTATTCATTAGGTCTGAGAATCAGTAACTATCTACTTTTCATAAGTGATAAGGAATGTTCACCCTTAATTTTTATTAATTTTTGGACAAAATGCTTTGTTTTAATTTTTTTATAGATTTGCATTCAAAAATACATTCAACTCTGATTTTTTACTTTTTTATCACCAAGGCCTATTTTTCTATAGCCATTTAAGTAAATCAACTAGTAATTCCTAGTAATATTTGATCTTGAAGAAAAGATTTAAATTTTACTTCGAAATTCAATTTATTTTTATCAAAGGTTGTCCACACCTAACTTCGGAAAACTCCTTATTTTTGGACCAATTTTATTTATTTTAATTTTCTATAATTCGAAATTGAAAAATACATAGAACTCTTTTTACTTCGAAAAACTATTTATTTTCATCATCGGTTATCCACCCCTATTTTTTTTATGGCAAAACGATGTTTACCGGGTCAGCTAGTATATGCATATATTACAGAAGACAGGTTCATGATTTATTGATTATCAAGTATTTAAAGTTTGTTCTTCATTACTATCAATATTTCATCTCATTTCTTCTCATTTCTTCTCATTTTTTCATCTTTTATTTTATATCTTTTATCTTTTTATTTTTTGTCTCTCTTTCTCCATCTTTACAAACTTTTCAACATCTTCTCTTTTTTCATCTGTCCTTCTCTATCTTATATCTTTTCAATCTATCTCCCTCACTCTCTCTTTTTGTATATATCCTTGTCCTTTTCTATCATTTCCACGCCATTTTAATTTATTCTATTTATTTTTCTCGTGTAATAAACAAGAAATTGTTACATGAATTGTTTTTATTATATAACAATTGTTTCGTTTCGAAATGAAATAATTATAATAAATATATACGCACATATATAATATATTATTGTTAAAGAAAATAGATTTATGGATAGATATGATGAAATCATTTTTCTTAAATAATTTGCATAAGACGTAATGATTATTTGTGCTCATTTTATTTATTTCTACCAGCCTGTGGTAATTAGTTTTAACTAATGTTATCTTATTTTTTAATCTTATCTTGTTTTTATAAAAAATATTTTTAACTAATCTTATTTGATTATTTGTGGATTAATTAATTTTAAGTGATTTTATTCATCTATTTGCTTATAATTTAATAAAATAAGATTTTTGCTATTTTTTTATTCTCACAAGCCTATGATAATTATTTTTAGTACACAAAAGACAAAAATTTCAAAAATAATTACAATAGCAATTTAAAAATTAATTACAATAGCAATTAAAAAATTAATCACAAGAGCAGCATCAAGAGTCTTGGTACTGATATTGTAATTAATTTTTTAATCTTATCGAATTTATTCATAATCATTCGAAACCTTTCTTCGTAGTAAACACTTGATTCAGAATCGTAAATATCTTTCTTATAAAATTCATAAATTCTTGGACCCTACGACTCTTTGTTTTGGAGAAATTTGACCTAAAATTACCAGCAGTACCTAAAATCGTCCATTAGAGCCAAAAAATAGTCTCAATCATCTTTTATCTAAATAAATCCTTTATCTTCTTCAGTTATCTGAACATTAAATTAGTGATCATGTGAAACTAAAAGAATTGTGTGAAATGGACAAAAATAATCACGAGGATCATGAACGCCTTAAAAGTACCCAATTAGGAAACAGGAAAAAACAAAATTTAAAGTTAAGTGAGAACCTGCATAAGGATTTACCAGATTCATCAGAAATCAAGGTCAACAGTGAAAATTTGGAGGAAATCTGGCAATCGCCAACACTGGATTATAACTTTTGTGCTGAAATTGAGGAGGATAAGTCTAAAATTGACGGTGATGTAGCTGATTTTAGTAGCCCTGGATTGGGTAACCAGTATTCAGGTGTTGATTCATCTCTTGGTTTATCTACATCTTCAAAAATAAGCGTAAATTTAGACGAAACTGCCATTGGTTTGTCTGCCATTGGAGAAGAATCTACTTCTGCAGACACACGGTCACAAGACGAGGTGTTTTTCAGTCTTGGTTCAAGTTTGGCATCATCTACGCCAAACAAGGTTACACAAGATATATCCAGGACCCCAAAATCAGCGCATGGTTTTACCCAAAACCTGTATTGTGCTAATTTGGACACTGCCGGTATACCAATTAAGTTTTCCCCAGGAGTATCTAGACAACCAACAGACTTCCAATCCAATATCGACCTTCTATCTGAAGACTATCCTCATCCAGGAGTTTCAACCAAATTCTCACCGACCAAGCCTCAAGAATTTGGAAAGGTCGAGACATACCTGGATTCTGGTGTTGATCAGGAAGCAGGATCTGGTGCCAAAAGCGAGGAAGTGCAAGGTTGGATTGAAATTTTAAGTGAGGACTATTGCAAAGAGTGCTACGGAGAGTATCCTGACTTTTTGTACCATATTGCCAGGAACAAGTATGGTGCTTTGTACTTCAGAGTCATCAGGAATCTGCTGCTGAACAAAGGTAAGGGAGGAGATGGCAGATAATTTAGTATTTGTTGTAACGCATATAGTAATTAGAGGAAGTGATTAACCAGAAATAGATTATTTACTATTTAGAGATTAGTTAGGGTTCTATCCAAATGTGTCAACTTTTGACACGCTGTTGCACAAATCTCTAATAATTATTTCCAACATGATCTCATCTTATTCAAATCCATAAGTATCTTCAAAATTTATTCAAATATATTTCCAAAAACGTTCTAATGTAACATTTGCATGCGTGACGTCCGAAAATGTATATTTCAATTAGTGTTAATTACTAAAACAAACACCAGGGTGCTCCACTCTTACACTATTGTATAACACTTCTTCTACGTCTTCTTTAATGGGGGCACATTAATTGAGTAAAATTAAATTTAGGCCCCCGAACAGAATAATATACAAACTGAGGATAAAGAATAATCTAGAGCAGTGTTGTCCAACGTGGGGCTCACAGGGGGGAATTTAGATTTATCATTTATTGTTAAGGAAATAAAACTGTTTTAAAGGCTGCGGTATGAAGGCAAATTTTTGTATAAATGTTGAAGCGAAGGGCATATCCAAAACGGATCTGTAAAACAACACAAAATATGGGGAAACACTAAAAAATATCAAATTTACTATCTTGGAAACAAAACCATTTTTAATGTTAGCAATTTTATATTGGAGCAATATTCTTTTTTCTGAATGTTAAATTGGGTGCATATCTAATAAAAAAGTTTGGGAAACACTACAATACAAAAGGTTGAGAAACACTGACAAATATTAAACTTACCATTTATATTTTTTTAGGAAACAAAACCATTTTTAATAGTAGCAATTTTACATTGGAGCAAAAGTCTTTTTTCGAAATGTTAAATATTGGTTGCATGACTGAACAAAGTTTGGGAAACACTACACTACAATACAAAAGGTTGAGAAACACAAACAAATTTCAAATTGGCATCGTTTAAATTAAATATTGAACTAAAAATTCATATTTTTAGGGAAAAACCATATTTAAAGGTATCTGTTTTTTATGGTTTTTATTTTATTAAAATGTTGGATAAATATAAATAAATTAATTGATTAGTTTTGTATAAAATTTTACAATTTTAGTATTTGTTGCTAAAGTATAGTATCTGCAACATACAACATACAATATTACTTAAGTTATTATACATATTTTAAATGAATTATTTTGTCAAATCCTGTTCATATATGCACTATTCAATCTACGATCAACTAACAGAATATTTCATATCCAAAGCCAAACAAAAAAAATTTTGACACAAGGAAACTTCTAATTAATTTTTTAAATAAGTAAAATTTTTTGTGCTTATATTTAAAAGTAAGGCAAAACACCACTGCATTAGTTAAAAAAATAATCTATCAAATTGAATTTAATTCATCTGCCAAACACATATACTGTATCTTATATTTTTTTAATTTCTGGCATTTCTCATCTGCTTTTCGGCTATAATAATGTAGACATTACATTTTTCTTATTCACAATCATAAATATATTATATTTTAATATTGTCTTAGCCTATAAATGAATAGAAATGTTTGGCAAAGGACAGTCTTCAATTGTTTTTAATGTCAAACAATACCTCAAATATTTTCAATGTCAATCAATGATAAGCGTTTTTTTGCAAGTTTCTTCAATTATTTCTACAATCTAACTATATTTCTATAAATCAAAAAATCATAAAAAAATCCCTTCACAAACTTCAGGCAGATTTATCAAAATCCGAATAATCGTTTAGGAGGAGAATCCCTACATACATCATTATAGAAGAATTATATATATATATATATATATATATATATATAATATATATATATTTAATTTAAAGTGTAATTGAATTTAAAATTGCAGTAAAAGTGAATCTCTCGAATCGGAAAGACTCTCATGACTTACAACCATTATAAAATTAGAACGACAATTAAAATCAGAAAAAGTAGAAAATGGCGAAATTAGAAAATAATCTAAATGAATTAAATAAACTATTTTCTGCTTATAATTTAAAACAAAAACTGTGTCTTTACAATTCAACAAAAATTCTTTCTGTTGGTGTCCCATTTATAAAACCTATAAATAAGAGATACAGGTCAGTTCGTTCTGAAAATCGATAGAAACAGGGAGGTACTGGTCGTTAAAAAACTAATTAGGCCAAAGAATTTAATGAAACTAATTAAGGGATGTAAGGGATCGTGTTTAAAGGCAAATTTGCTGGAGAATTATATTTTTACGGAAAACTGATTTTTTAAAAAAAAAACTTGTGCAAGTTTTGAAAAAACAAATATATTTTTGACGGAATTTGTAAATTTTTTTAATATCTGATAATATAAATGTCATATGTCTAATGTTCATTTTTGACCGCCAATGGCATTGTTTTTTTTTTTTGTTAGATCTCTGGAGACGCTGGTTGCCTTTACAAAATTTCACCAGTTGTTCGTCAATACAAGTAAATTGTTTTTTGAATTATTAAAATCGGTCGCTCCGTTCTCTTAAAAACTAAAATACCAATTATGGCACTTTTTGCCCCGTACTTCGATTTTTCAAGAGGATGTCGGTTCATTTTTTTTTTTGTGAAAATGTACATTAAACATTTTGCACTAATCTGTTAATTATAAAAAAACGGCTTGGCGATAGTCTCAAAAACTAGCCATCAAGAGTACTTATCGAGTTTCATCAATACATTTTTTTGGCCGTTATTGAGAAAACATCAACGAAAGGTCCAAAATTGTCTCACATACACACGCATACTTTTTCAAATTTTGGTCTCAACGATTCAGAATGACTTGAATTTTTCTTTCAGGAAATCAAACAAATAATAATGATAATATATATCGATATCATCAATCTAAATATCGATGTCGATGCCGTGACGAAAGAGGAGAAAACGGTCGCCGGCGGAATAAAATTTTGATGCTTAATCTCCTTGCTCACAACTCCATGACAAAACAATTTATACACTTAATCATATCTTTATATATATATATATATATATATATATATATATATATATATATATATAATATGTATATCGATGACCCATACATCGATATCAACCCAATTATCGTGATCGATTACATTGTGCGAATAAATTATGACTTTCTAGCAATTCGTTTTATTTATCGCACTTGTTACTCGTTTTTAATTATCTAACTCAATAATAATAATAATAGTAATCAAAATATTCTTGAATTAGTGGGATTAAATGTCAATAAAGATAAGATAAGATAAGATTAAGCGCCGTACGTAAAACGTAATATCGATAAGGTTGTATTACCGCCATGTGACTTATTTTTAGAAACGATTATGGAAAATTAGTTGATGAATAAACAAAGTGTAAGTGGCATTTTACCTTAAGGAAAATAATCAACTTTAATGTAATGACAAATCGAAAATCTATAAAAAAATGAGATTTAGCTGTTTAGATTATTTCAACTTAACCGTAAGGTAAGTTCTAGTAATCGCCCAAAAATCGAAAATGAAATTTTTTTCATACGTTTTCAGAGGTTTCTGAACATTTTGACATATCTTGTAAAAATTGATATACATACGTGTGTGTGTTCGGATACAAATTTTCGTCGAAGATTTCGGGCGCACAGATAAACCGATTTGAAGGGTTCAAATAACATTCTATTCCTATTATAGGAAGACGTGCTGATTAGTTTTTGGCAAAGGCTCATCTAGCCCTTTCGAAGACACGGGGCAAAAAGTGACAAAAATCGTAATTCAGATTTTTGGGATAACGGAACATCCGATTTGGATCGATTTAGTCCGATTTGAATGATTCAAAGTGCATTTTATTTGTATTGACGAAATGAAGAAATGATTTTTAAGAAGACAGGTCTAGCGTCTTAGTAAGGACATGTTTTCCGTTTCGAATTAACTTATATATAAAATTCATAAAACACTGTTTTTTTGGAGTCTCGAATCCTTTCCAAGGTAGAGACCAATAATAATATTGAATTCTTCGAAAATGTTTGCACATCTTTACGTTTCAGTGCTTTCTGAACATTTTAGCATAGTTTAAAAAACTGGATGTGTGTGTGTGTTCGGATACAAATTCTTGTAGACGATTTCGGGAACTTTTTATTTATCTTTACGTTTCAAAATCTTCTGAACATTTGGCATACGTTAGAAAAAATGGATGTATGTGTGTGTGTATGCGTGTATGTGTGTGTGTGCGGATACAAATTTTCATTGACGATTTCGGGAACACCGATCAATCGATTTGAATATTCAAAAAACATTCGATTTGTATTGATAAGGTGACGTGCTGATTAGATTTTGGACAAGGCAGGTCTAGCCGTTCCGAAGATACGGGGCAAAAAGTTCCAAAAACGGTAACTCAGTGTTTAAGAGAACGGAGCGCCCGGTTTTAATAATTCAAAAAATATTTTACTTGTATTGACGAAATTAAGAAGTGATTAATTTTTTGGGAAGGCAGGTCTAGCAGTTTCGGGGATTGAGTAAAAAAAAGTAAAAAAATGCCATTTGGCGGCCAAACATGATCATTACACATTGGCAAAGGCTCATATAGCCCTTTCGAAGACACGGGACAAAAAATGACAAAAATCGTAATTCAGATTTTTGGGATAACGGAACATCTGATTTGGATCGATTTGGTCCGATTTGAATGATTCAAGTGCATTTTATTTGTATTGACGAAATGAAGAAATGATTTTTAAGAAGACAGGTCTAGTGATTTCGGAGATCCAATGAAAAAAGTAAAATAAGCTATTTGATGGACAAAAATTATCATTAGACATCAAATTATTAGGTATTTTATATGTACTTTAATACTAAAAACAAACTTTGTTCCCATTTCTATGGGTTCCGTATCAATGACTCTGAAATAGCTTTGCAGCGCGAATGCTTTAAAAAAGTTCGAAATTTCCAAAATATTTCAAAGTATAAAAAAAATTTTTTTTTTTAAAAAAAGTTCTTTATTCCTTAAATTTCAAAATTTAAAAAAATTTTTTTTTTTCAAGATATAAATTTTTTTTAATCTTTTTTA